TGAATATGATTGTGCGCTTCGTTTTGTGTCCAAGAAAAGTAAATCATGGTAGTTTTATCGAAATAACTGCCCTGATAATATCAATTCTGCAGACAATTAAAAAAGCTTATCAGATTCATCTTCTTCCTAACTCAAAAATTTTACCTTTAAAGCTGGTATTTTTTCAGATATATATTTTGCCCCATTAGATCATCACCACGCTTTACTAAACTTTTTCATTTTTTTCACATTTTTTATTTTTATAGTAAACTCTACGTTTCAAAGAGAAGAACTTTTCATTTATACTGGTGTAATTTATAATAAAGATTTGGTAAATTAAAAAAGTGTAAATATTAATTCATCGCTTTGAAAATTAGATGATTAAATTTACCTATCGGTAAGCTGCAATTATTTTTCTCTCCGTATCTAAATGTAATTATTTTAAAAACAACTATTACTAAAATTCTTGAATCATATTTTGATTTACTCATAAAAATGCCTTCAATTATTTTCATATATGACTGAGTTTTTTTCTCTCCTTGTATATCGTGCTCTAGCGAATTCCACCTCACGGTATGTATTTAGGAAATGAAAAAATGTGATGTTTTTGGGTAAGCGAGTTACACTTCCTACGCGTTGTAATCTCGTTACGGAGTAAGGGGTCGTGATTGTAGTTGGATTTTTTTCCGGGTCAATGGCCGCTGATAAAAATAGATCAGAGAGCGAATCAAAGTAAAATCAAATTCCATAGATGAAAAATCAAAATCTTTCGAAGAGTAGCCTCCGCTCGATTCCAAAACTGTTTCCTCGACTGCTACGCCCACTCTGCACCAGCATGTAATATAAATATAAAGTCCCGAGCCGAAACAGTCAACGTCCTCGAACATGATGCTCGTCTGCGGTTTTATCGTTTATAAATGCACTTTCACTGCCTCATTAAAGTTTGATGGATTGACATCGATTTATTACACTATAGCTGCAGCAATTTTTTATTCACAACGTTTTCGTATTAATATTTTGATCTTGCGTCTTTAAAAACAAAATTGCATTCATTCACGTCTTCTGAAAGCTTCCAAATCGAAAAGAAGGAAATCATAAGAAGAAAAAAAAATTAAAACGATGCGAGCGAGTGCATTCTCAGTTATGAGCGCATCACACACGCTTCCACGCCCGTACAAACGGGTAGGTATAAGGGATCTAGCTGCGAGGGAAAGCAAACTGACGCCGCAAAAATCAAAGGGCAAAGAACTCGAGAAGCTCGCAAGCGCACCTACGACCCCGACCCTTAGCGTAGAAAAAAAACTAAGAAGAAAATAAAAAGAAAGTAAAAATTCATTCGCTGCGCGGAGCTGCTTTGAGGCATTGGTTTGGATGGTACTCTCAAAAGCTCACGGAGGCTCTTCAATCAAATAATTCTTCAGAGCTTCTTAAAAAGCGTTCAAACATCGATGGAGCGGCGCTTGTCAGAGACTAGCTGCTCTATATACACCTCATCTCGCGGCCGACCGCCAAGATTTTCCCGTCTCTCGGATATAGCTACTAAATGGTTTTAGCGCGGCATGAAGTAGCGCTGCTCTGCATTAATGTATCTCGTTAATGAAAGCTCTCACCTCAAAAGTCAGAGCAAATACTGTACATAGCTATAATGCAGCGTGCACAGTGGGCCCCGGCTCGATACGTCTAGATTTTCCGCAGTGAGAAGTGAAATGTTAAGTTTCGACCTTTGTCTCGCAGCTCGCTTAAATCAAACAGCAGCGACAAGACGGCGGCGACGACGACGATCCGGTAGCTCGACGAATTACGCCTTACAACTCGTACTTGATACGCTTGCTCGCGCGAGCGTCTTTTTTCTCCTCACCTCGTTTATCCTTCTCTCTTTCGCGCGTCAAATATTACGCTCGTTTAATTTTGCGCGAGAGAAAGGTATAATCCGTTGCTGCTGCTGCTGCTACCGAGGATGAAAAAGTAAAGAAAAAAGGCCGAGGGGAGTAAATATCCGAGGTTCATTCGGTGGAAAGGTATAATATTCCGCGGTGGTGGCGTCGTTTCTTGGCGCTGCACCACGTATACGCGACCCCCCGCGCGCTGCCCCTTTCATTCCTATTGATATGGCGCAAAGTCACGTGCAGCACTTGAACGTAAATAAGTGAATCTTTTCTCGGCGACCGTAGTCACGTTCTCCTTTTTCGCTCGCTCAGGCGTTGCTATAACGTATCCGCGCGCTTACCCAGAAAGAGATACGAATAAAGGAGAGAGAGAGAGCTAGAGCTCTAGCTGGTGGCGGCGGCGGCGGCTGGGCACAAAAGAGAAGAGTTAGATTGGGTAGCGGTTCGGATATATATAAAGAACAAGTGAGATCGGCTGCATCTAGTGCAGTAGTAGTTGCAAAGCTAGGCCTCGCACACCTAGATAGATTGCGAAAATCTATCGGCTCCGATAACGAGCGATAAAAGTCCAGAGAGATATTAGTCGTCGTAATCTTTCGCGCGAGAATCATTAGCCGCCCACTGCAGCTTTATTACTTGTCACTCTCTCTCTCAGCTGATCGAACGTGAATTAATTGCGAAGGGAGAGGTGGACGAAAATTGTACAATTTAACAAGCGCGTAACAACGTAATAATTCGCAACAATGCAGAAATCCGTATTACGAACCGCGCGCGCGCACTTTGGACCTTAAACGTGAACGCGCCGCGCGCGACTTTGGTTTAATTATAAACTTTACTATTGATTCAGCGGGAATGCCTTCAACACCACGTACTAATTAACGGATTTCTTATAAAGCTCAATCGTTTGTTCATTGCTCGAACTTTTCCTTATAATCGACAAGATTCCGTTGAATAATTATTATTAATAACTTGTTGAGGACTTTTAATTCTTTGGCGTAGTTGTAAAATCTTGAATGAGAAGCCGGGTGGCAGGGCGTTTCGGGAGGCGAAATCTCCAAGTATATATAAGTGAGCCAATCTCGCTGAATGGCAGCGCGCGCGCGAGCCCGCTCAGATTATCGTTAATAAAAAGGTCGAGCGCGAGAAAATTGAATACACAGACGCGCACGCATTTGTTCATCTACAAGTATAAAGAGTAAAGTATAGGGCAATTGTAGGTGGCGGCGTGCGCGACTATATAGCTGTGCAGCGTACAGAAGGAGAAAAGGAGCCCGAAGGAGCGGAGAAAGACAGTAACGAGACGGGCCAGAAAATACGCTACCTCAAAGGCTATTTCAATTTCAATGGACAATAAAATGAAGCCGCTTAGCCTTGCCGTTGCTGCTGCTATTTCTGCTTCTGCCACCGCCGACGTTGCTGCTGTTGCTGCACCAATATAGCTTCTCTTGCTCTTTCTCTCAAGCTCTACTTTAACCCACCCCCGTATAGCTTACTATTCTCGCAACACAAACACAGCCACACGCACACTCACATTGCTTTCTCTGTCTCACTCTCTCTCTCTCTTCTTCGTCCTGTGCAAACTTCCTCTCCATCGCCTCGGTCGCGAAACCAACAGCAGCTTTCCGGCGTAAAGCTACCGAAAGACGCGCTAGCCGGCTTTATTTGTAAACTTTTTTTCTACCTCGACATCTTTGTCCGGCTATTCTATATCCTCTATTATACTTATTTTTAAACATTTATCGCCAAATTTTTGTTTAGTGAAGCGCGATCGCGCGACATTGTTAGTAAAACAAAAAAGCTCAAAAGGCTATCCGTATTAGCTGAGATAAAGGACGCACCGTGTCGGACATTTACAGTCTGCGCGGTGGCTCTCAAAAGCCAAGAAGAGCGTCGTAAAATTTGAGCACGGATATTAGATTAGCCCGAACGGCAAAAGCTTTCGAGGGTCCAATGGCTCGCGCATAAAATATAACTGAAAGAGAAACAGAGAAAAGAGAGCACGAGGCTATATAGGCGTATATATGCGAGGAATCGGGAGCTGGACGGGGGGGTTGTCAGGACATTAGCCGGGATTCGCATCGCAGGTTACGCTGCTCGGAGGCACGCGCGCGAGCAGAGATATAATTCAGGCTCTCTTATATTTTCTGCTGCAAAAGTGCGGGCTTCCGAAGGCCGTACGGCGAGCTATATAGCGGGTGCGATCTCTCCTTTCCGATCTCGATTCCTTTCTTTGGCTCGCACAGCTGCAGTTATATTGGCGCAGCTATACCTGTATTTCGTGAGCGCGTGTACGGAGCGCGATATGTATGTGTTTATACGTGTACATATATATATCTCATGCAATCGTGGACATTGCAAGGAGCGCAAAGCGAGAGCAAGATCTCGTACGCATGCGTATATATGTATGATGTGGTGCGAGGCCACTGTGACTGCGCTCGGCGGCAGTCGGCGCTGCTGCACACTACACCAAGTGCACTGGCAGGAGCATGGAGCGCGCATACTCGCCGCTCGACTCACGATTCCACGCGCGTTGTCGAATGCTGCTGCTGCGGTGGAGTGTAACTTAACATGTGTGTCCGCGCGTACACACAGGCATACACGTACATGCATACCTACCTGGCCTGAAAATGCATGTGCAAGAGAGAACTGGTCGCTTGGTAGTAGAGGTGGATATATATGTGCGCTCTACGGCGAATATCTATAAGTATATGTAGTTCGCAGCGCGCAGAAAGTCGCTCGCTCGGTCTCTCTCTCTCTCTCCATCTCTCTTGGCCGTAGTATACACTGCGGCGCGTATAGTACGTAGAGGCCCCCCCGCCCTGAGGACGGACGAGCCACGCGACCCGAGTGCCCCACCACCGGCTGCCGAGCGTCGACGAAGTACGCGGCGGACGCGTGGTACTGTCGGCCTCGGCAGCGGCAGCAGCAACGGCGACGGCGTGGGGGTCGGGGGGCGCGCGCGCGCGCGCGAAAGACAGAGTGAGATAGAGTGTACGGAGTAGAGCGAAAGAGAGAAAGCAAGAGCAGGAGAAAGAGAGAGAGAGAGAGAGAGCACTGCACTGAGGCACACGGGTGGGGGACTGCCTCGGGGGGCGCTTCGTGGCTACGGCAGTTCCGCTAGAGCAGCCTCCGCGAAAGGTTCGTCCTCGCGCGTCGTTTTTGCGCTCCGCACTACTCTCGCACACGAATCGAGGCTCGAGCCGCGAGCATCGTCATACGAACCGTATAGTGCAGTGTCTGTGTGTATGAATACGTGATTTCGCGCGCCAAAGACGACGACGAGTGTGTGCGAAGCTCGTGTTTTCAGTGCCAGACAAGCAAGCTCTTCCACGAGCCACGAAAGAATAATAGTCGCGAGTTGAGTGAAAAACGTCGGGAAAGTCAGTTGTGTGCGGAACTGCTGCAGTGCGAGCTTTCGCGAGGTTGACAGAGAGTCTCGCCAATGTGGGCTTTTACTACTGCAGAGATTGTCGTAGCCGCTGCTGCTGGCAGTGCAAAGTTCGATGCGGCGCCGCCGAGGCTCGAGTAGCGTCAGTGCGACGGATAACAAGCGCTCCTGACCCCCGATCGCTCCTCGGCGCTCCTCGTGCGGTACGTGCTGCTGCTCGCAGGAGCTTGTAAGCTCGAGCCCGAGAACAACACAAGGCAGTGGGCGCGATTATCGTCTGCACGAGACGAATTATAAATAATAATAGAGAAAAGCTGCGCACCTGTAGCAGTGTACGTGCTGTGTGTCTATGTGCGAGTGCAGCCCACCGCGTGTGCAGCAGTAGCAGCAGCAGCAGCAGTGCAGTGAAAAGGTCACTGCGCATTGGCGCCCAACCGGACGAGCAAGTGCAACTACCGGGATCAATGGCCCATTGTGTGTTGTTGTGCCGCTACAATACTGCCGCCCCCAATTAGTCGATTAACACCAGTTTCACTCTCTCTCTTCCTTATGTACGTGTCCTAGTGTCCGCAGTGCATATCCATATATGTGTATATTTATAATACATATCGACGTACCTATGTGTCAGTGTTTAGTGTCCGAATTCATCAGAGTCCGATGGTACATGATCAGTGTCGATGGTCAGTAGCACGTTAAACACTGTGACCGTTGAACCGCACGAGCACTATATATAAATTTTCGATTTAATTTGTGGTTTTTCAAGTTCTGTTGTTGTTGAGTTTGTTGGTGCGGCCGTTTTTTTGTTTGCGTTGCGTTATTTTTTCGTTCTACGTTCTACGTTCGTTATACATTTTGCCGCGAGTTCTGGTGGTGTCGATACTCTCGTCTGCGATATTGTGAAATAGTGCATGGTTTCACGTGCTTTTTGTTTGCCTCCGCGCGCCTCCACTCCTGCAGCAGCGACACATCCACGTATATGGGATATACGGTTGTCGTTGCCGGGGTCGAGCTCGCATCGACTGCTACTACTGCATCGTCGTCAACGCTGGTAAAGTGCAGTGCTGCGCGTGTTGTTGTGTCGTCGTTGGCATTAGTCGGGGCAACAGCAGCATCCGACGACAAAGTGGAGCTGTATCGTCATCGACGCTCTTGTGCTGTTGTTGTTGCTGCAGCGACAGCGGCATGCTACCCGTGCCACTACTGCTCTCCATTGCTCCGATGAAAAGACGGAAAAGCAAATCAATGATCCAGCCAACGAAGACCGAGAGGAGAACGACGAAGACGATAATGACAAACAGGTAGGTGCACTCGTCAGTGTGTGCAGTTGTGATCCCGCAGTGTTCGTGTATTCGTATTCGCGCGCTCGTGTGTGTTTAAATGTGTGCGCGTGTAACAGTTTACAGAAAAGCGATCATAATGAGACTTTTTTTGCCTCTTTGAATTCTTTCGAGACTGAAACGTGTGCCTCGGCTCCGCACATGTACCGTTAGCGCGCGAGCGAGATATATTATCGGAGTCGCGCTCGCGCGTCTCTACGTACGTGTGTGTGCTGTGTGTGTATCTGTGTGTGTAAGTTTATATGTGTACGCGTAAGTGCAGTCGCTCGCTGCTGCTGTTGCTGCGTGCGAACGAGGTTGCTTCGATCATTTCTTGTGTGCCTTCAGTTCTTGCCTCTTCCTCTTTTCTCTCGCTCTCTCTCTCTCCTCTCTTTGCGTACATCACTGATGATTTTTTGGTGAGCGGACGTATATTCGCCTTGTTATACCGGGCTCTCGCGATATATATATACACACAGACTGCAGCGCAGCAGAAAAACTTCCAACGAGTTTTTGGGGCCATCGTGCATGTATGCATGAGAGCAAAGTACATGTGCATGTATGTGTGTGGGTTGTATAGGGCCACACAGACGCGCTGCCAAAGAGAGAGAGACCGTGACTCGAGTTCGGGTGCAGGAACGTGACTTTTTACTCGGCCATATGTCGCTCTTTGCCTTCTTCTTCTTTCTTTTCGATAACGCGCGACCGCAAAGATATTACGAGTACACTCGTGCTGTGCAGCTCTCCGGGCAACTTATTATATATTATGTTTCGCGATATTAAAGTCTCGTGGACGACGACGAGGATCGGCTGCTAGCTAAGCTTCGTTGCTTTATCTATCTATATATAAACTGTATATCGATGCAGCCGTTTTTTTGTCGCCCTCGCAGCTAGCTGATGTATTTATTATTATTATTGTTATTATAGGTTTGGAGCGTTGTAAAAGAGCGCGCACCCCGAGATCGAAGCTCTCTCGCGGACTAATTTATGAATTCGCAACAAAACCACGATGACAAGCCGCAGCGTACTATATGCGAAGTTGTATAAAGTCATGTCAAACCGTGCCTGCATTTATAAACAGTCTTATAACGTGGCTCGGCCGTTCTCTGTGCATGTATATAGCACATTAGCGCACGCTTCGTTAAAATATCGATTTTCACCCTAGCCACAGCGCCGCACCGCACCGTTGCAAGCTCGTCCCTTTCTCGCTCTTTCATGCTCTCTAGTCGTGAGAGAATACATAACTGCATACATAAGCACGTGCAATGCGGGGAAGATAATTAAAAAAGAAAGAATTAAAAAGGCTAAAAATGATTAAATTTAAAACGTAAAGGTTGCGTTCGCCTCTCTCTCTCTTTAGAGCTCTTTATCTTTTGCCCGGCAAAGTTTAATAATGCCCGTAGTATTGCTTCGATCGGATGAATGTTATTTTAGTTGCTTTTCTCTCATATTTATCCGCGTTCGATGTTATGTACATCATGGTTACGCTTTTCATTGCCCGATCTTTATGCCCAGCAACAAAAGCTATTCAGCTTTGATAAAGCACAATATAGCCAGCTTCTGTTCGGTATATCTGTCTTTGCGACTGAAGAGCAGTGAGTGAGTAAGAAAGGGAGAGAGAGAAGGAAGACGTAAATAGAGTCACTCTATCTTTCTTGAAGACTTCGAACGTCTTCATTCGTCGTCTGTCGCCTATTGCTGTATATATACCGTCTACATCGTTTAACACCTTTATCCTATCTTTGCTTAACCAACCCACTTCTCTCTCTCTCTCTCTCTTTTTCTCTTACTCGCTCTCTTATTCGTCAGTCGAAAGGCAAATATTACGTTTGTGCAGTAACTAGATAGTACAAAGAATTTAAGAATTACTCAAAGTTAACAAGATATTGCGAGTCACGTAAAAAGAAATAGAAAGAAAGAGAGAGCTTATAATTACAAATTAGGGACTTGATCTCATTTGTATTCGAATAAAAAGTTATGTTCGAGTGCGTTGTTGAAAACGCGTAAATAATATTGCGCGCGAAAACCGAGAGTAGAAAGATAGAGAAACAGAGGGAGAGCCTCGAGTAGAAAATGTTTTTTCAATGAATAAACATATACAGGCTCGTGCGCGTAAGCGACGGACGGGAATTATCCCTTGGGGGAAGTGCGCGCTGGCAATATTACTTTATATATGTGCCGGTAATGAATGAAATCCATTTAGTTAATGACAACGCATTGTCGTTGTAGTACCTCTCTTCGTTATAATTATTATTCGCCTCCTTTTATTATTAGTCCTTTTTTTTGTGTCGTTGCCTGGCGCGCGTATACCTGTTGGTCGAGAGCGAGAGAGCTGACACTATGCTCTGTTGTTTTATTTTTTCAACAAACGCCAAGATGTTTATTGTCAAAATGCGCCACGGTACGCGTGCCCTTAATGCTGATAGTGACGGTATTTCAGAGTGCTAATTAGACCTGCAATGCACGGCACGGGGGCTTGCTTTAGTTTGCTCACACGCACACATCCATACGTAAGTTGGCACATGTGGAAAGAACGAGCGAAAATGTGCAATGTTGAAAATTTCATTGTTCTTTGGAGAAGTTTAAAGAGAGTAGAGCGAGAGAGCGGGAGTAAAAAATCTTTTAATTCAAATTTTCCGCGCTCCACATAACGACGAAGGAACTGTGTGAGTGCAGAACGGCTAGCGTTTCTGCCACTGCCTCTGCCGCGCTATACTCTTGGCATTATGTAGATGCACAAGAAAAGAGCATCATTGCTTTAGACTCGGCATGGCTCTCCCTCTCTCTCTCTCTCTCATTTCGTTATAACTCTTTAATTTTCACGGTTTGCGAATGTTCGTCCCTGCATATTTTCCCTAATAAAATCTGACAAGGGCTTAAATTAGATTTTAAGGGATTTTAACGTTGCTCTTAATTACCAATTGAATCGGAATAGTCACGGAATAAAAAAAGGTTAATGATATTGTGGATTGTCAGCGACGCTCCCAAGAATTACTGGGGAATAATTTAAAGCCGTTGGTATCGGCGCGCTGTGGAAGTTGATAGAAAAAAATTAGCTCACCTCGATACGATTTGTGCTTGGCGCACACGTCACACAGAGGTATTTTCAGTCGGATAATCCTCGCGATCTAATAGCGAAAAGTTGCGCAATGAAACACTGCTTACTTTTGCTGCAGCGCTATAGTGGCGTAAAGCGCCACGCACACATACAAACGTATTAAATCAAATCGATAAAAGCCAGTGCTGCTGTACACTTGGTCTGAGCGCGAGCGATTAATTTTTCCACCGTTAATTGCTAGCTCTCTTTTTTTCTTTCTCTCTCACTCGCTTGCTGGCTCACTCGGGCTCGCTTGCTCGGCGGTGGACTCGCGTTGAAAAGTTTTACCAACTGCGATTCACACGTCGTGGGTTTAACGCAGTTTTATACCGTCCCCAAGAACATCAACTTTAACTTAGTACTTTCTTTCCCTTTTTTTACACATCCTCGACTACTTTCTTGGTTCTTCGTTTTTTTTTCGTTTTTTTTTTGCTACTGCTGCTGATGCACGACAATTTTCCCGAGATAGTCCTTGCTTCTCTTCGATAAGTCTTTCTCTCTACTATCTCTTGCTATCGGTACATGACATCATCGCTACCGATCGATTCGCTAAAGGTAAATAAAATTCGTCGCTAGACTCGCTCTTACCCCCGTCGTACGCCATCGTGCCATCACGTACGTAGTGTGTAAGCTTTGCCCGCCTCTTTCTCGAATAAGTGCATCAGTCGGGATTTCGCTTGTAAACAGAAGTTAACTCCGAGGGGGGAGGAAAAAAGAGTAAATTCCGTATATATACTCACGGAGTTGAAGATTCGCGTGTGCACTCGAACTCGCCGTCTATGAAATAAATACTTGAAAAATTCTAATGGGTAATTTTTATTAAAATGCCTGGCTACAGCAATTGACAAGCTCTCGAGAGTATGATCCGTCATACCGTTACCGCACTAATTAATCGAACAACACACACCGACTCGATCATTTCATCCAATTCGAAAAAAATAAAAATGAAACAGGATCGTGACGGAGTAATTATCGAGTGTCGATCATCCCGGTATATACATTCGCGGAGTCGAATTTTCTCTCGAGTCACGCATAGACAAAAGAAAGGCCGCTTTCGTCTCAAAGGCGGGAATGGCTCCTTCAGCAGATCGATTAATTTACTCCGCTGCCGCCGAGAGATCCGCGTTCTCTCGAGAAATTGCGCAAACAGCATTTTCTACATCCGTATTGTGCGCGGCTAGACTCGTGCGATGAAAAAAAAAAGGCGACGCCTTGGTAGAGGAGAACATGTAAAATATCGGTATTATATCCATGCGGGAGGTGCTCGACATTCATCGCGTTCACTCGCGTATAATTCCATGGTTTGCGGCTGCTTCTGCTGCTGATTTGCACGCATCGTCGAAGGCGACGGCACACCGACGACGACTACTACTACGACTACGACGACGACTACCGACGATGACGATAACAATAGAGTCAAATGGATCAGCGGCAACACAAAAGCTCGCGTCGTTTGCCTTTAGCCCGAGTTAGAGACAGGGAAAGAGAGGAGAGATAGAGAGAGAGAACTCCCGTGTACGGAGTAAGAGTGTTTGTGTGCGCGAGAGCTCGAGCTCTGCAAGTACGTAATAGTGCAAGCCACATTTCTTAGCTTATTATTAACCGACATACGCGGCGCGAGCAGCAGCAGCGTGTAGATCGATAGATAATTACCCTGCGGAACACACATGAGGTATTTCTGAGCTGCTCCGGGGCTAATAAACGACGAGAAGCGTCGGCGCTGGGGCATGCTTTTTCGACTCGAATATTCCGAGCTGCTTTCTTAGATCGTCAAGTGCGTCATTTCGAATGAGAAGTCGAGAAGAGGATCAGTTGCGCTCGGTGAGCGAGCAAATATTCGTCGAGGAATGATTTGATGTATCTCGACGGCTATATAGAGACTCGG